GGAGATTGGAGACTTGAAGAGAAGCACACTTTAACATTACCAACCCAACCATACAAGTATAAGTTTAATGAGTTACCTGAAATACCGAAGATTAAGAATATTAATATTTCTATTGAAGATGAATGGAATACTGAAAGCATTTGTAAAAAAGTTATTAAACAAAATCCATGCCTTGTGAAAGGGAAAGTGCCGGGCACAGGTAAGAGTTATATAGGCAAATATTTCCAAACAATGAATTATAATGTTCTGTTCGTTGTTCCAACAAATAGACTTTTACAAGAGAAAGAAGTAGAAGCAACAACATATAACAATTTTTTAGCATTGCCGTTCAAGAAGATGTCGGAAAGAAATTACCAATTTATGATTATTCGCCTCTTGATGTAATAGTGTTTGACGAAATATATATGTCAAATTTATATGTGTTGAATAAAGTAAGGTTATTTATTCAGAATATTCCGGATAAAATCGTAGTTGCTACGGGCGATGTTAAGCAATTACAAGGAGTGGAAGTAATGACCAACTGCCAAAACCCGGCGACATACATGGATAATTGTTTGGACACAATCTTTAAATACAACATATTCTTAACAATTTGTAAAAGAGTAGGTGCAAAAGATAGTGAAGAAGGGGAAAGAAACAGAGCAATAGTTAATGATATGTATGCTGACTTTTGGGAAAACACATTGCCAATAAATGACATCATACCCAAATATTTTGAAATCACTGATGATATAATGGCATCAGAGCATAACATTGCTTATACTAATTTAAGGTGTCGGTCTGTCTCCAATGAAATCCGGGACAGATTAGACATAAGTGAGAAATATGTAGTGGGTGATATGTTAATTGCCAGAAAATGGATTAAACAACCAAGGGTAAATGTCAATTTAAGATACAGGATTACAAATATAGAAGATGATGAATTAGGACAAGAAATAACATTACAAAACATAGCAAATGAAGAAGATGAATTTATGTTATTTGAACCTGTGGTTGATGCTAACTTTATATATTCATACTGTGCCACTACTCACTCATCACAGGGAGCAAGTGTAAAAGAAAGCATCAGTATTCATGAATGGAATTTATCATTTGTATCCAGAGAGTTTTTATGGACGGCGATTGCAAGGTGCGTTGATTTCAGAAAAGTCAGATTGTTCAAGAATGATGACTTTGATAAACAAATGGACAAAAATATGAGAATGAGATATTTTCAGAATAAAGTAGAAAACTATAAGATACAAGACCGTCGCGCTCAAAGAGAAATTAATGAGGAAGAATACATAAGTGCTGAGTGGTGCTTACAACAGTTTCGTGCCAGATGCCAAAAGTGTAATAGTCCGTTTAATTTTGAAACAAAGCAAGGTAAATTATGTAGTAATTTTACAGCACAAAGGTTATGTAATTTTCGCCCGCATGAAGTGGATAACTGTATTGCCTGCTGCGTCTATTGTAATGTATCAGCACATTAAGATTTTAATATGGTTTATGTTAAATTCTTAGTTTTAGACTAAAAAAGGTTTAAAGAAATAATACCTATATATAGTAGAGAGTAATGAAGGAACAAGAAATAAATAATTATATCAATAAGAAATGCTATGACTGTTGCCATTTCAAGAAGGAGAATATGGAATTATACAAATTAAATTTACCTAATGGAATAATAAATAATATATTTGAGTACGCTTTGGGTAAAGAAGATGAATGTAAAATTTGTCAGGAATGGAGAGATAATCAAGAATTAATCAGGTGTCATTTAAATCTGAAAAGGAGAAATAATAGAAATGTTGAAGATGAAATCTTGATATTTTTAACTGTGTGTGAAAGACCACCTTATGGTTATGTTAGAGCATTTCTAAAAATCAGTAAGAAAAAGTATGAACTGATTAAACACATATTATGGATATTGTTATATCGTAGAAGAGAAGGGTGTGATGTAAAAGAAGACATTAAATCATATATTGAAAGCAAACAGTTTAATGTGAAAAATATCGTGAGGGACATTAATATTATTTTGAAAATGATGTATGAAAGAGGTAAGATGTATCAACAATCTAATAGTCATCAATTAAACTATTATCCTGAACTTAAATTATGAATAATATTACAGTATCAATATAATACATCTTAATTTATTATATGGATAAACAAAGAATAGTTAGTGATATTTATTATGATAAAAGCGGTTATGGGTCTAAACAGCGCACACTTCAAGAAAGTAGAGAAAAAGATAAGTCAATAACCAAGGCTGATATAGACGATTTTTTCAATAAAAATATAGAAATCAAAACAAAACCAAGAGGGCAGAATTCATATATACCGCCAAATGCATTTCACGAATTCCAATTTGATTTATCCTTTATCAATGATATTCCTAATCAGAAAATGAAGGTTGGTGCTTTAATGATAGAAATTTTCAGTAAGGCAATGACTGTAATACCTATTCAAAGCAAAAGTGAAGGTGATGTAGCAATGCCACTGGCTGAAGGATTTAAAACGATTGGCGGATTTTGTAAATTATTATTTACAGAGGATGAAAGCGCATTAAATACAAAATCTATACAAGAGTATCTAAAAGATAAAGGTATAGAACACTACACAGCAAGAAACCACGCAGCGTTCAGTGAAGTAGCAATTAAAACGTTCAAAAGAATGCTGTATAACAGAGTTGAAGCAGATGAAAAGAAAGACAAACAAGATATTGATTGGCGAGACTACATTATTGAAATTTTATTAACATACAATAATAAATTGAAGCACACAAGCGCCGGTTTTACACCAGCACAAGCAAAACTAAAAAAGAATGAATTTGAAGTAAAACTAAATATATCAATGAAAGCAAGACATTCCCGCACATATCCAGATTTAGATGTTGGAGACAAAGTTAAAATCAGAAGGAAAAAAGGAATAACTGAAAAGCAACAAACCTCACACTGGACTAAAACAACTCATACAATAACTAAAATAGAAACTAAATTAGGACAAAAATATTATTCTGTTAGTGATTTTAATAATAAGTCTTTGTTGAGGCATGAGATGTTAAAAATATAGTTTTAGACTAATAGAATAAAACTATTAGATTTATTCAATATATTTGTAATTGTCTATTGTGTTGTTTGTTGTTTGGTTTTTTTGTGTGGTTTGTTGTTTGGTGGTTTTTCTTACCCCAGAGCAAACTTATTATTTGTGTCTAAAACTATTTAAAGGGTAAATTGCTTATTACTGTAAGAGATTATGGAAAGGAAATATTGCGCGTGTTGTGGATGTTATAAGGCAAGAGATTTATTTTCAGGAAGTTGTTCCAAAACTTGTGATAGATGCCGTGAAAGGCAGAAACAGAAAGACCAAAGAAAGATACTGAAAAACGCCGCGGATAAGCAACAGAAAGAAACAGAAGAAGGAGAAAAACAATATTGTTCACATTGTAAAATGAATAGAAAGATTGGGATATTTTCGGAAAATCATAAAACTTGTGATTTGTGTAGAGAAAAATGAAAATCTACTCGCAGACATGGAGAGATAATCATAAAGAGGAGATAAGCGAAATAAATCAAGACTATGGCATGAAAATATTTGCGTGTTCTGTTTGTGATTGTGAGGGTAGATTGAAACATAAAGCGAGGCATGAAAAAAACAAAGAAGCACATTGATGATTTAAAAAAAAAGGTTGAGGATAATTGAAATGGTTTAAGTTATGCTTGAAAAATGAATAACTTAAAACATTCTATTAATTATTATATGGGTTTTGGTGAGTGGATTGATAAATTATGTTGGGCGGGATTTGGGAAAGTGGGTATGTTGCTTGCGGGTGTGCTACTGCTTGCTGAAAGAGGCAAGCAAATGGGGAGACAAGTGAGGAGACAACTGCGGAGACAAGTGGGGAGACAACTGGGAAAACATGTCGTGACAAGCTCCGAGTGCACTGGCAGAAAGAGGCAAGCAAATGGAAAGACAAGTAGGAGACAAGTGGGGAGACAACTGGGAAGACATGTCGTGACAAGGTCCGAGTGCACTGGCAGAAAGAGGCACGCAAGTCTTGCAAGTGGGAGACAGGTGGGGAGACAACAGGGTTACCAGGGGCAAATCATCTCGTGACTGGGATCAATTCTTAGCATGAATAGAGAACCCTTACAGCTAAGCTGTCATGCTTTCCGAGCCATTCTCACGCCCTTCCGAGAGCGACAAGGAAAACAAGCAGAGAAGAGAACGCAACATAGAAGAGAGTGTAGAGAAGGGAACTCAGAAGAGAACAGGAACTGCGCCCCGCTCCACACATGCCCCGCTCTGAAAAGGTTAGGCTGCATTCCGGTCCGTGGCTTGTACCAAAGTCACTTCGTGGGCTCAAGCTTTCCACAGTCAGCGCCTGAAAGAAAACATCATCTTTTTTGCTCTGTCTTAAGCAGCTCTACCGCCGAAGTTCTTGCTTGGATCTCCATTAGCCCGTAGGGAAAAACACGGCAAGCCCCTTAAAATTTCGAGTTGTCACGTTGTCTAGGAAACGATGCCCCGCGGAGGCACGTCACCTTCTGACATAGCAAGCTCGCTAACTTCACCCTCCGCCAATAGCTCTGGATGTCATGATCTGTGCCATGGCCAAAACATGGTAGCTCGGCTTTGGACATGGGTCACCCAACAGAAATCTCTCATTACTGAGGCCTATTGAAACTCCAATTCAGTGGGTTCATGACCTTCGCCCATTTACCCCCAAAATGCGGACGCGCTGGCAACCAGGGGAATGTAGGTGGACTTGACGATCCCTCCCTCCCGAGCTGCTGCGCGCGATGTGTTTGTTCCTTGCAAGCCACCATGTACAGATCCTAGTACAGGGTGACTTGAGCCAATATATGGCAGTTTTATTCGCATATGTGTTTTGACCATGGCTCATCTGGCTACCTGTAGCGGACAACCAGATGGAACCTGGGCATCTTGAAGCATGTTCTGGGCCCACTCCAAAGCAGCGAGAGCGGAAAGGAAAAAAACAACTGGCGAAGCCGAGGCTCAGAAGGATGTTTTGCGGCTTCACATCACCTTGGCAAGCTTGGAGCACTGCGCTGCCAACCCGCGCAAACTGGCCAAGGTGCGATGAATAATCCTCCTACCTCGGGCAAATCGCTGCGACGCAATATGATGTACTGTCTGTCAATGTTTGCACGTTACCCGGCCCTGACTCGTAGCAATACTGCATGGCGGCGAGATGCTGTGGAGGTGGCTCAGGGCGCAAGCGACTGAAGCGCCTATGTGCAACACAGGCTCCTGCTGGCATCAACGCCGCTGGCAACAAGGATCAAAACACTGCGCGCAGGAAAAAAAGAGGTCCTCGCGCAGCTCGCCCAAGTCAGCAGCCGTGCCGGCGCACAGTTCGAGTAGGAGTCTTCCGCGGTCGTGGTCGTGATGGAACAGCTTTACCTCAACAGAACGCGCTGAACCCTAGGAACGCAAATGGCAAAGCAGCCGCCCAGTCCAAGGCGCAATATGGCGGCAGCAGCCTCGGCCGGAGAACCGCCAAACACAAGCATGTAAGGCTGTCAAGCTACACGCCAAGTGGCATTTCTGGAGAATTTTTGCCTCTGCCAACGCCAGCTCCAAGCTAGCAGTCTTTAGCGCGTACGTCTCCCCGCTCTGAACCTGCTGGGAAGCCGGCTGGGCCCTGCACATCGCTCTCGCCAAGGCCACAATAAAGCCAAGCCACGTGCTTCACAGACACTACGGCACCAAATGCCCCAGCGCCCAGCTCGCCAAGGACAGCAAGCCTTGGACAGCAAACCAACATGCGTGCCAGGGTCAAAACACGGCATATGGTGGACGGTCATCCCCCTAGTCGCAGGGTACCTTTTCAGGTTTCTGAAATCCCCCAAAAAGAGGGTTCACGACCATCCCCCATTAACCTCCTACCAACCGTGTTTTGACCGTGGCTCATGTCAGCCAAAGTTCTGGGAGGGGCTGAAATGCCCGACAAGAAACACTAGAGGACGATTGGCCTGAAAGCAATGTTTGCCATGCAGTTCTTTCTGTGCAAGCGTCTCTGTATAAGTTGCTCTGTGAACGGGGCTCTGCGCAAGCGCTCCGTGCAAGCGCTCTGCGCAAGTTGCTCTGCGCAAGTTGCTCTGCGCAAGTGCTCTGTGCAAGTGCTTTGTGCAAGTTGCTATGTGCAAATTGCCCTGCACAAGTTGCTCTGCGCACGTGCTCTATGCAAGTCGCTCTGTGCAAGTGGCTCTTTGCAAGTTGCTCTGCGCATGTGCTTTGCGCAAGTGCTCCGCGCAAGTTGTTCTGCGCAAGTCGCTCTGCGCAAGTTGCTCTGCGCAAGTGCTCTGCGCACGTGCTCTGTGCAACTTGCTAATTCCAAGCGCTCTGCGCAAGTTGCTCTGTGCAAGTTGCTCTGCGCAAGTGCTCTATGCAAGCGCTCTGTGCAAGTTGCTCTGCGCAAGTGGCTCGTTGCAAGTTGCTCTGCGCAAGTGCTTTGCACAAGTGCTCCGTGCAAGTTGTTCTGCGCAAGTTGCTCTGCGCAAGTTTCTCTGCGCAAGTGCTCCGTGCAAGTTGCTCTGTGCAAGTTGCTTTGCGCAAGTTTCTCTGCGCAAGTGCTCCATGCAAGTGCTCTGCGCGAGCGCTTTGCGCAAGTGCTCCGTGCAAGTTGTTCTGCGCAAGTTGCTCTGCGCAAGTTGCTCTGCGCAAGTGCTCCGTGCAAGTTTCTCTGCGCAAGTTGCTCCGTGCAAGTTTATCTGCGCGAGTGCTCTGTGCAAGCTACTCTGTGCAAGTTTCTCTGTGCAAGTGCTTTGTGCAAGTTGCTATGTGCAAATTGCTCTGCGCAAGTTGCTCTGCGCAAGTGCTCCATGCAAGTGCTCTGCGCGAGCGCTTTGCGCAAGTGCTCCGCGCAAGTTGTTCTGCGCAAGTTGCTCTGCGCAAGTTGCTCCGTGCAAGTTTCTCTGCGCAAGTTGCTCCGTGCAAGTTTAGCTGCGCGAGTGCTCTGTGCAAGCTGCTCTGTGCAAGTTTCTCTGCGCAAGTGCTTTGTGCAAGTTGCTGTGTGCAAATTGCTCTGCGCAAGTTGCTCTGCGCAAGTGCTCCATTCAAGTGCTCTGCGCAAGTTGCTCCGTGCAAGTTTCTCTGCGCGAGTGCTCTGTGCAAGCTGCTTTGTGCAAGTTTCTCTGTGCAAGTGCTTTGTGCAAGTTGCTATGTGCAAATTGCTCTGCGCAAGTTGCTCTGCGCAAGTGCTCCATGCAAGTGCTCTGCGCAAGTTTCTCCGTGCAAGTTTATCTGCGCGAGTGCTCTGTGCAAGCTGCTCTGTGCAAGTTTCTCTGTGCAAGTGCTTTGTGCAAGTTGCTATGTGCAAATTGCTCTGCGCAAGTTGCTCTGCGCAAGTGCTCCATGCAAGTGCTCTGCGCGAGCGCTTTGCGCAAGTGCTCCGTGCAAGTTGTTCTGCGCAAGTTGCTCTGCGCAAGTTGCTCTGCGCAAGTTGCTCCGTGCAAGTTTCTCTGCGCGAGTGCTCTGCGCAAGCTGCTCTGCGCAAGTGCTGCCCGAGCTGCGGAAGTGCACTCCGCGTACTACTATTGTACTTAAAGCTTGCGGTTTGCCAACTGGAGGCTGCTGCGGACCAGGCGGGGATCGAACCCGCGAGCACGCGACTCCGAGAGCAGCCGCGCAAGCCACGAGACAACTTCCAAAGACCGGTTCGCAAGCAAAAAATCGAAAAAACCCTCCAGTTTTGCACCTCAACCACGCCGATCCCCGCAAAAAAATCATCAACCGCAGGAACCGCACAAAAAAACCTCAGCTTTTGCGCATCCACCACGCCGATCCTTGCAGGGGGTTCATCCGGGAATGGATACATCGCAAAAAACCATCAGTTTTTGCACCTCGACCACGCCGATCCCCGCAGAGGGTTCATCTGGAACCGCAAGAATCGCAAAAAACCTTCAGATTTTGCACATCTGCCACGCTGATCCCCGCAGAGGGTCGCAAAACCGATCGATGACAACATCCCCACCCCCCGCCAAAATATGAGATTCTTATACCGAGCTGTTTCTCTTTCTTTCTGTCGCGCGCGATAAATACCTTTCCCAGGCTTGCAAAGCTGCTGACACCGAGCCTCCACACTTGCTCTATGCACCTACGCACCTAGCCCTATGCAACGCACCTGACTCTATGCACCTGTCTCTATGCACTTGGCTCTACGCACCTCGCTCTATGCACTTGGCTCCACGCACTTCCCTCTATGCACTTCGCTCTATGCAACTGGCTTTACGCACTTGGCTCTACGCGCCTTGCTCTATGCACTTGGCTCCACGCGCTTCCCTCTATGCACTTCGCTCTATGCATTTGGCTCTACGCGCTTCCCTCTATGCGCTTCACTCCACGCACTTCGCTCTACGCACTGGGCTCTATGCACTTGGCTCTATGCACTTGGCTCTATGCACTTCACTCTATGCACTTGGCTCTATACACCTCGCTCTGCGCAAGCGACTCTGCGCAAGCGACTCTACGCACTTGGCTCTATGCAGTTGGCTCTACGCAGTTGGTGGCTCTGCGCAAGTCACTCTACGCAAGTTGGTCCAAGAGCTCCGCACGGAAGAACCCCTCGCGATGCTTTCGGGAAATTCCAAGAATGGAATGGCTTCTGAGAAAAGTTCTTCTGGCCTTGCTTGAATTCTTTTTTGCTACGAGCGAAAAAAAAAGAGACGTCCTGCCCCGGCCCCGAGCTCGAGCCCCAAACAAACACTACAGAACAATCGCTGCACGAGCTCAGTTCCCTCTTCAGAATATGCTTTGAAGGCAGGGAGCTCGTCTGAGTCAGGCTCTGCAGTTGATGGCTGAGAGTCCAAGGAAGGCCGTCGATCCTGCAACGTGACGCGGGGCTGGAAGCGTCCGCTGCAAACTCGACGCCGTCGTGCCTTCGAGGCATCGTTCCTCCCTGGGCTGCCCGGCGGCGTCATCAAACTGACGGCGCTTGCTTTTGGAGAATGCCGCGAGCAAACCTGCCAAGGTGCGATTGGATGCATTAAGCTCTACGCCAGTTGCCTTTGGCCCGCCTCCGGAACTCCTTCATCGAAGGCGGCCTGCGCACAGCTCTGGAGCAATTTTAGCATGCGCAAGCACCCCGCGCCTGGCCACCTGGTGGCTCATAGCACGCACGCTTGGCGGCATGAAGTTCAGCCGCCTTCAGGCAACGTGACAAAAATGAGGGGCAGCTTGGCTGCCCGTCAGGAGATTGTGCGCACTCTTTGGGACTTTCCAATTAAGCGGCTCCAGCTTCTGGACACACTTGCAAGGCAAATTGACTGGGGCAATCAATGTTGTTAACCTTGCAGCGACGCGAGCCTCAGTTTGCTCTGGGCCAAGCTTCACGCTCTTGGCGACGGCGCCATCTAGCTCTCCTCATGCGGACATCCATATGCTTCAGCTTTGAAATGGCTTTGTAGCAAAGCCTCCTGCACCTCATCATCATCACCACCACCACCATCATCATCAGCAGCAGCATCATCGTCGTAATCATCATCATCATCATCATCATCGTCAAAATCACCATCATTGTCATCACCACCATCATCGCCATCATCAACAAAACCAGCATCATCATCATCACCATCATCATGATCATCACCACCAACATCAACATCATCATCATCATCGTCATCGTCATTATCATCATCGTCATAGTCACCATCATCATCATCATCACCAACATCAGCATCAACATCATCATCCTCATCCTCATCATCACCGTCATCATCATCACCATCACCATCATCACCACCATCACCATCATCTCACCATCATCACCATCATCAACATCGTCAAGATCATCATCATCACCGTCACCAACATCATCATCCCCATCATCGTCAACATCATCATCATCACCATTATCATCATCACCACCGTCATCGTCATCATCATCATTGTCGTCATCATCATCATCATCATCATCACCATCATCATCATCGTCATCATCACCACCACCACCATCATCATCACCACCACCATCATCATCATCATCATCGCCATCGCCATCGTCACCGTCACCTTCATCAATGTCTTCTTATTCTTCTTCATCATTGATCATAGCATCATAACATCATTGTCGTCATCATCGCCGTCGTCATCATCTTCACCATTCATCATCGTCTTGCACCGGCGCCCACAGGCGAACCCTTGACCCTCGCCCATCACAAAGTGCAGTTTTTGGGGGCATGAACCGCACAGAGCATCAATCCTCAACTCATCGCTACGAGAAGTCTCAACTCAGTGGCAACGCCACAGGTGCAACAGGTCGAAGGTGAAGTAGTTGATGTTAAGGGGATTGCATAGCAGAACGCCAAAACACTAAAAAGAATACAAGTTCCAGAAGGCAAACGCCGCAGCACGAAGTGTTGTCCGCCAGAGCGCGGTGGCAGGAAACCATTGCATGTTTTAAGACAGAAAGCTTGTTGACGCCTCGAAGCCTCTAAACACCACAGAGCCTAATCAGAGGAAGTTTAGAAGGAAACTTCCGAGCTACGGAAACTAATTGAAAGCTAGATGGTGCAGGAAAGGAAGAAGAAAGAATGAAAGGCGGGCGAGAGAAAACATGCGTGTGCGTGTGGCGGGGGAATAGAATTTGCGAAAAAGAGCAACCCTCTGCGGGTTTGGTGGTGTGGGGCTGGCTGAAAGCTACCTCGGTCGCGGCGTCTGACGGACGACGGGTGCGGGACGGTTGATACGCGACACCGTTTCGCAACATTGTTTTGCGTGGCAGGCGCAACACTTTGGCAACCTGAGGTACGTTTTGCGTGACAGGCGCAGCACTTTGTTGATGCGGCGCTCAGATTTCGTGGTAGGCGCGGCACTTTGGCGGCGGTTGCGAATCGCAGTGGAATGGACGCGCAAGCTGTCACGTCGCGATTTCGTGGCAGGGGCGGCATTTTCGCAACGTGGGGTACAGATTTTGTGGCAGGGGCAGCACTTTCGCGATGCGGGGTGCAGATTTCATGGCAGGGGCAGCATTTTTGCAATGTGGGGTACAGATTTCGTGGCAGGGGCAGCATTTCGCAACATGAGGTACAGATTTCGTGGCAGGGGCAGCATTTTCGCAACGTGAGGTACAGATTTCGTGGGTACAGAATTCGTAACAGGGGGAGCACTTTCGCAACATGAGGTACAGATTTCGTGGCAGGGCGGCATGTTCGCAACGTGGGGTACAGATTTCGTGGCAGGCGCAGCATTTTCGCAAGGATAGATAGATAGATCGATAAATAGATAGATAGATAGATAGATTAGATAGATAGATAGATAGACAGGTTAGATAGATAGATATAGATCGATAGATCGATAGATAGATAGATTAGATAGACAGACAGGTAGATAGATAGATAGATTCAATAGATACATTAGACAGATAGATAGATTAAGTAGATAGATTAGATAGATAGATAGATAGGGAGAGAGATTAGATAGACAGACAGATAGATATATAAATAGATAGATATGTAGATATATATATAGATAGATAGATAGATTAGATAGATAGGTAGATATATAGATTAGATAGAAAGATTAGATAGGTAGGTTGATAGATAGATAGATAGATAGATTAGATAGACAGACAAATAGATAGATAAATTAGATAGAAACATTAGATAGATAGACAGATAGATAGATACATAGACAGATAGATAGGATAGATAGATGAATAGATAGAAAAAAAGAAAGGTTAGATAGATAGATAGATAGATAAATACATAGATAGATCGATAGCTTAGATAAAAGGATAGATAGATATATATATAGATAGATAAAGAGAAAGAAAAGAGGAGAAGAAAGAAGCGAGGGAAGGGGCGAGTCGCGAGGGAAGGGCCGAGGGAACGAAACAAAAAAAACAAACCCAAACGAAAAAAACACATGATCTATAGTGGTATGTGGTTTTGAAACTTCCGCCCACCGGCTTGCCGGCTATACTGGTACCTGCCGCGATCGAGGTGGCACCAGGCTCACTAAGCGCCCCACGCTTCGGCGCCGCGCATGTCTGGACCTTCAGCTGCTCCAGCTGCTTCTGAAGCTGCTCAACTCTTGCCACAGCCTGGCGTCTGGAGCTTCCAGCCCAACCGATAGAGACATGGCGCAAACGCTTTACAGCACTCACCAGCGGCCTGTTCCATGCTTCCACCAAGTCCGACTTCCTGGCGCTTCTCATGCTGGAGGGCGTCGAGATCGCTTTTCAACAAGGCCAAGAGATTACAAATTAGACAACATTCCTGGCTGACGAGCGTGCTGAACCTGTAATGAGAAGGCACATAACATGAAGCAGGTCGCCTGCAGTAGGTGATTCCCACACGGCCGCTCTGCTTCCCGCAACTGCTCCAGCAGCACCTGCTTAAGGCTAAGTAACGACCTTTGACGCCGGCGCAAAGAATAGGAATGCTCAGGCCTGACACTGCCCTTCGTGGCGCCGGAGACTCACGCCAAAGCCGCGGAGCCCCAGCCATCCGACGTTGCGGCCACAATGCCGGCCTAGGCTCGTGCGTGGCATAGGCAATTGTTGCGCTTTCAGCAAAGGCGTCATCTTAGCCATCAGCAAACGCATCGCTGACAAGCCATCAGAGCCTGGACGCCACGGTGAAAGCAGTGAAGGAAAAACTAGCCAGCGCCCTTGGGCAGCCTAGCCTCCTGCAAGCTGACCAGTTGGTCACAACTGAGCAAGTGTGCCCTGAGCCGAGCAGCAAAGCTGCGCCACGGCTTTACGGCGCGGTCGCAAGAGCAAAGCAGGCCAAACAAGAACATGGAAGTCGGAACGGCACCAATCTCAAGGCAAGGAATGGCACACGCGGCCACACGCGTCTCACGTTTTATCCTTGCGTCTCACAGCTCAGAAAGCTCTCATCGATTATGAGGCGTCACTGCTGCCGGCGTGGCATGGTGAAAGAACACATCAGTTCCTGCGATGCCCGAGACCGAATTCCCCGAAAGTTTCGGTCCGCCACTGCAAACAAGATATTTGCCCTGGTCCTGTTGGATTGCTTGGCTTCAGGGTCAGCCTTTGTCGGCGCTGGATCCCACTGGTTCACGAATGGAGCACTCAGGTAACGCAGAACGAGTACGGTGTCGGCAAACATCACCAGCGACATGGGGAGGTGCTAACAGCCCCCATGCTGGGCTGCACTGAACACTTTACAGCCAAGCTGCGCTTCTTAGCCCTGAAGCACCGCTGCCGCCTTGATGGCCACGCTGTGGCCCAAGAGGCACTGTGAGCGATTTCGCCGAACCTGAGCAAGTGCGCCTTCCTGGCTGCGCAAGACTCGTAAGATTGGTAAGGGTCACCATAACTGTAAGGGGTCTGCACAGGGACAACACAAAACAGCTTATCTGGGACGCCCAAGAAGCAACGACACCTGGCACTGAGCTGGCCACAGCTGGCCAAAAAGGCCCCCGTCGTCTCAGGGTTGATGCCTCGGACAGGCCGCCAAGATCGTTCGGTGAGACAATGACCCCACGCAAAAACATTCGAAGATGCAAGAATAACGCGAGTAGATACGCAAGCACAGGTCTCGCAGCCGGCGCATTCATGATAGAATCATATCCAGAGCAACTTTGCCTTCGTCACCCAGAACAGTGTCCAGGCCTGACTGCACTCCTGTTCTTGTGATTTTCAGGCCGAGAGCAACGGTTTGCGCGCTGCAACTAAAAAGGGCTTCCAAATCCCACTAAAGGGGAAATTCCCTGGTATCGCAGAAGTGGGGTGGAAACCGTTGGCATAAAACATGCAGCATTCAAGAAACCTCAAGCTTCACATTGCCCGACATATTGACTGAGAATGCAAGTTCAGACGCCTGAAAATAGCGCGCGTACTTTTCATTTTCTGAGCCAAGACTCTGCTTGATAACTTTGACAAAGTGACAAAGCAACTGCTTGATTGATTCATCATGCAGCAACGCGCCCCTCGTCCAAGACCGCGGCAGCATTCTCATCGCCAAACTGCACAGTGACGAAGTCCTGAACTTGCGCTTTCACTTTTCAGCTTTCAAAGCAAACGAGACATGGGTACCTGGATCCTCTCCATCCAGACATCTACCCGCAGCTAGAGGCGAAGGCTGCCGCGAAAGGAAAATTGTTTTCTGCGCATGCGTGTGTGTGCTTGGTACGGGGGAGACGTCTGTGACCCTGGCTGCCCCTCGTGAATATCCCAACCAGCTTTTGTGTTGATGGCATCTCGTAAATGACCAAATTATGCCATCCTTGCCAAAATTTCCCGCCGACTGCTAATGCAAAGATGGCACACGAGCCGGGTTCCTTGTCAAAACTTGGCTTCTGTGGGTGAGAGCGATGTGCCATGTTTGTATGCTATGTTGTGCTGTATCACGGGTGCGCCGCTGGGCTTGATAGGGCCGCGCGGAGCTCGACATATTTGACCGGTTTGTCAATCAACACTGTTTGCAATTTCAGCCCTGTTGCAATTCCGGAAACAAAGAAAAGAAGAAAGAAAGGAGATAGAACCGAAATAGCCAAAATGTCCCGCCAAATCTTTGAACTTTTTTGCTAACGCAAAGATGGCACACGAGCCGGGGGGGGGGGGGAAATATATAAAATATGTATTCTGACATCTTTTTTCAAAGTTTCATAACAGTGTAAGAAAAACTCTAAAATATAAATTCTAACAGTCAAGCAATGGCAGGTGTCAGCATGTTTCTAAAATCCATTTCATAACAGTCAGCAATATTACCCCCTCTTTCATTTTTTCATAATCATGACAGTTAAGATACTTTACCTCATCCATTTTACCAATTTTATAACTACCTCCAATTTATTACTTTCATTCATTTTTTACCAAAAGCATAAGAGTCAAAATATCTACCCTTATTCATTTTCCATACAATTATAACAACCCCACATTTAGCACCCTTATCCATTTTAAAATTTCCAATCATCGCCCCTTCATGCATTTTTATCAAAATCCTAACAACTAACCATATACCGCCTTATTCATTTTTATCAAAACCATAACAGCATCAACATTAATCACCTCATCCATTCCACATAAAACAGAACAATCAACACCCAAACCAAAAACTCTAACAGAAAACAAACAAATAAAAAAAACACCAAACAACAAAACAACCATACCAAACCAAACAACAAACAATACAATAGATAATTACAAACCCCTCTAAACCAAACGAAACGGCAGATGCACACAGGCAACTGGCAGATGCACACAGGCAACTGACAGACGCACACAGGCAACTGGCAGATGCACAGAGGCAACTGGCAGATGCACACAGGCAGCTGGCAGATGCACACAGGCAACTGGCAGATGCACACAGGCAACTGGCAGATGCGCGCAGGCAACTGGCAGATGCACACAGGCAACTGGCAGATGCTCACAGGCAACTGGCAGATGCACACAGGCAACTGGCAGATGCGCACAGGCAACTGGCAGATGCACACAATGAATTCATTAGTAAAATCATACGATATAGCAACTGCCAGAATGAATTGGTTAAATACAAATGCTAGTGAAGAAGTTGAGTTAAATACTTCCCAGCCTATTAGCGTTAATAGTTCTCCACCTATCACAGTTAATAGTTCTTCAACGCGTACTGTTAATTCATCATCGTCAGAAGAAAATGCTACATACGAAATAGCACCGCCTACTGACATCCCTGTTCCTGCAGGTGTGGATGGGGACGAGTCTGAAGGTGAAGATGAAGATAAGGATAACGAAAAAACACAAAAGTCCAAATGATGGAAAATAAAAAAGTCACTTAAGTAATAGTCACCTTTTATATATATAAAATATAATGCCGTCCTATTTTGTTGATAATGGTGTGAAAATGACAATGACAAATGATATGTTTGATATGTTCTGGAACAGTATAGGAAATGATGAATTTATTAGTTCAGAAACAAGCGTCATATCATCAGCAGAAGAACCGAAAAGAAACAATGCTGACTGGAGAAAACAGGATAACGGATACTACAATAGGAAGCCAAATGATGATAACTATTTTGAAACATACTATAAAGAAAAGACAAAAACTCATGTGTGTGTGATATTTGTGGAAGTCAGCTAAGTTGTAAATCAAATCTTTCAAAACATAAGAAGTCTAAGAATTTCCTCGTAGCACGCGATGCTACTGCACCGTGTCAAAAGCGTTTAGTGTAATTGAATGATATTATTAAAAATATTGTCATGTAAATCATAAACTGTATGATATTATGAAAGATAAAAAATCATAATGAATAGGAAATTAGATAAGGATGAAATTTAACATAAGTTGTTTCACAATGTTGATGAGGGTTTCGGTTCTGCTAGAGATTTATATGAAAAAGCGAATAAAGTTGGAGCAGGTTTTACATTAGATTATGTTTCTAAATGGTTGAAATCTCAACCAAACAAGCAAACAGGAAATTATAAGAACTACAATTCATACACGGCACCTTTTCCAAAGTATGAGTTCCAAATTGATTTAATGGTCATGTCAAGTTTGTTAAATGACGTTGGTGTTGATGTTAAAAATCAACCTAAATTTGGTTTTGTTTGTATCGATATTTTCAGTAAAAAGTGTCATATAGTTCCAATGGAAAATAATGATATTGATACTTTTTTCAATGCTATGTTAGAATGTTTTAAAGTTCTAGGCTATCCACTTAGTATATATAGTGATGATGAAGGGGCATTAAATAGTAAGAAGATACAGAATTATTTGAAAGGTGAAGGAATTGAATTAATTATTACTAAAACTCATGCATCACAGGCGGAGAGAATGATTAGAACAATTAAGAAAATGATTAGTGATAGACTTCGTGATCATAAAGGATCATGGATTGAAATGATGAAAGTATCCCTGAAGAAATATAAGAGTAGTCCAATACATAGTAGCACACAAACAGCGCCAAACAAAGCACACGATCTAGACAATGTTTTAGATGTTAGGGCAAACCAAATACTGAAAGAAAAGCTTCACCAACTTATCCAACGAAGATGACAAGAAACTGAACTGTCCTTGAAACAAAGATTCTTAAAACCAAAGGTTATAAACTTTTCGTTGTTCTGAGCGATACATTCTATTATAGAATTCTTGTGCAGTTCGTGAGCCTTGTTGACGATTAAGTGGGCATCATAGTTAAGGTTATGCAGAAACACAGGGATTTTCTTCTCTCTGAAACCGCAGTCTTGTTACAACTTCTTCTGGGTCTTCTTTCTCCAGCCTGCTAGCCTCTGGAGGTAAGCTGACTTCACTAGTGCAGCTTCTTTCTGCAGCTTGCTCTGCTGCTGCCTCTGGTACGCAACTACCCTGTTAGATAGTACAGGCTCTATCTCCTTGGCTTGCTGGTCTGGTGTTCCAAAAAACTTCTTCTCTAAGCTAGCTGGGCTGGGGCTGGGTGCAAGCTGGCTGGAAGCTAAGGACTCTGTCGGGCTTGCTGTCACCTGAAGCTGTGCTGTCGGGCTGGCCACACCTTTGGTTTTCTTGTTGTTTTGTGTTTGAAAACCGTCCAAGCTCTTCCTTGCAAAGCTGTCCTGTGTTGAAGCTTTTGCTGCAGATTGTCTTATCTTGGCTGCTTCCTGCTGGGCTTACCTTATAAGTAAGAAACATCGAGAAATCAAAAGAAGGTGTCCAAAATCGGAAAAAACATCGGGAATTCAAAAGAAACAACCCAAAATCAAAAAAACATCGAGAAATCGAAAGATTTTGCCCAAAACCGAAAGAACCCTCGAGAAATGGAAAAAAACAAAAACCCAATCTGGCCAACAGACTGTTTACATGATACCAGCACATTGTCCCAGAATCTTTGGTTCTTTGCTTTTTTCGATTTCTCAAGGTTTCTTTCGGTTTTGGAAAAATCTTTTGATTTCTTGATGTTTTTCCGGTTTTGGACAGGAGCCTGACATCTGTAGGAGGGGGGCTAAGGTGGAAAACTGTTTGCATGACCCCAGCACGTTGTCCCAGAACTTTTTTCCGATTTCTCAAGTTTTTTCGGCTTTGGTCAGAATGCAGCAAAATTAGGCGTGTGCAAAAATCCAACGCTCTCAGGGCCCCTTTCTGTTTCTATTGCCGTTAATGAAAATTCCTGTCATTTTACTATATTAGGGCGTTTTCTCTTTAAGTAGTTCTATTTTTCTATTTTTCTGCAGCTACTTTTGGTGTTTGTGCTTTCTGGGCTTCTGCTCCTGCTTCTTGTTTCCATTTGTTCCCTCGTCCATTCACTACCTCTTGCTATTTCTTGGGGTGAGTTGCTCCTGCTTCTTGTTTCCAGTTGTCTTCTGTTCATTTGATTACCTCTTGCTCTTTCTTCTGGTGAGTGACTTCTGCTTCTTGCTTCTACCTATCGTCTTGACCAGAATGATGCCCTCGGTTATTCGTCTTCCTGTTCTCTTGATTGTTCTGATGGTGTGGATGTCTTCTGGTCACTTTTGAATAGTTCAAATACGCTCTTGTCTTCTCCACCTAAAAATATGTTTCTTAACGACTTTATTCTCGGATTTCCTCTTTCTTCTCTTCCTCTTTCACGATTGATGCTGACGATGATGACGTTAAATGAAGACTTTGTACATCTTCCTGCTTTTCATCAGACTGTTTTGAATCATTATCTTTTACAGCTTTTGGTTCATCTGACTTTTTCTTTTTTGAGTCCTGCCTGAAATTGCATTACTATAAATTTCATCAGCAAAATCTTTTGCTATATATCGTGTTGTTTGTGCGCCTGCCTCGTTGTTTTCATACAACTGTGATGTTGGTGCTACTTCATCAAACATATCAGGGAACAATTCGTGTTGAAGAACTTGCTTATCAGTTTGAACCCTAGCATTCAACCGTAGTCTCCTATCATTTTTTGAAAGGCCAAAATCGTCAAAATATATATTGTTAATTGACAAGTCAATTACCTGTCTTTCAGGGATGATTTCAATTGATCTGTGTGTCATCGCTTCTTTCAGCATTTCATTAAAAGTAGGGCGTCGGCATAATCCATAATATTTATCAGTCATGTGACAT